AGCCAATACGTTTCTTATTGGCATCAAATCCTTGAGATATGAATTCATAGGATATGATTGATAGGGCACAAAGCCCTCTATTAGGTAAGGTGAATTCAAATTTGTCCCATCAGGCAAATATTCACCCCAGGTCTACAAGGTCCCATTGGACGAAGCAACCCATGGCTGCCGACAAGGATCCTTCTGTCAGGTTGGGTCGACTACCTCCTCTGACTAAGTAGACCAGGGACCATGATGGCCCGGGACGACGGAACCATGGGATCTTGATCGGGTCCATCATCCATTCCCCCACCATCCGCTTTAAGTGCAAGATGGTGAAAATTTTTATTTTAAATATCAAACCTACAAACTCTTTAATGTCCAAATTCAAATCCAATTCTCCAACCATTCCAAAGACCCATGCTGCTACTATATGCTTGATATTATGTATCTACGGATAAATGTATCTAATTGACTCTCGTTATCGGGAGGGGTAATTAACTATAGGGGCTTCCGCCCATAGGAAACCAGAACTCAGATCATAAAGTCTTCGCAAAATGAGGGTGAAATCTCTGGGTAGTGTCTTATCTACGAACCCATATGCCTTCCAAAATTTACCCCGTAACTTATTCCGTTAAAACTCCCCCACCGAAGAAAAAGAACAATCGCGCGGGCGGAGTCCGGGGATGAATTTTCGAAGCGCATAGGTCTTTGCTTCGGCACGTAGAACCAATCATACGCAAAGAGGACTGAAGCCGCCGGTTTCAACGATCAGTTTCTAGGGCAATGAAGGCCTCCCTCTCTACTTCTTTCATATGTTTCTTTACGAAGGTTTCCTCTCTACTTTCTTTGGATCTTCTTTTACGAAGAATCTGGCTCTGATACCATGTCGAATTCAGGAATTTGAGAGGGAAAAAACTTCTACTTTATGACACAATTATTTCTTTATTTATAGATTTATATAGAATGTTAAATAAAGAAATAACTAAATTAAAAAATCAGACATTATTTCCCTCATATATTCCTTCCTAAATCAACTACCTAATTGTGGAAGGGAATTAGCGTGATTATGGTAGGCTTCCCACGGATCCCTGTCTGTGGCCATGGGATCAATATGGAGACGAGAGGTTGGGATTTAACAGTTTCACAACCGGTGAGAATATATCATGATAGTCTATTCCTTCTTCATGTGAGAAGACTTTAGCCACTAGTCTCGCCTTGTACGTTGGTTTCATAGAATGTTGAATGCCAGTCTTCCTCACACAATTAAATTATCACTATTCTTCTATTCCTTGTTCTCAGATCTTCGTTGAATCTACTTCGACATCAATACCGACTTCACCACAACCATGGTCAATGTTTGGAACTTTTATTTGGTCCGGTCACAGGACATAGCTCTACGTTCGGTCGCCAATAGAATCGCGCCACGCGTTCTCACTATTTACCGCGCGGCCCGACAACTCGACCCGAAACGGACCCAGGATGGCTCGGTATTTCTCGATTTTGTTAGGTATTGCTCGGTATTGCTAGGTATTGGTCGATTTTGCTTGGCAATAACCAATACCGAGCAATACCGAGCAAATACCGAGTTTTTTTAGAAAAACTCAGTACAACTCGGTATTTCTAGAAAAACTCGGTACAACTCGTTCTAGCAAATACCGAGTTTTTCCTACCAAATTTTTCTAGAAAAACTTGGTACAACTCGGTATTTCTAGGAAAAACTCGGTGCAACTAGGTATTTCTCGGTATTTGTCTTCACAGAGCGGTATTTCTCGTTATTGTCAAGCAATACCTAGCAATACCGAGCAAATACCTCGCAATACGCGAACATAGCATTCCCGAGTTTCGGTCCAGGTCAAGTCTTTGGGCCGCGCGGTAAGGGTAAGAGCACGTGGCGACATGTTATTGGCGGCCGAACGTAGCTCTACGTCCGGTCAGAGGACGTAATAATTCTTCTAATGTTTGCTTACCATATAGCAATTTTTTTCCCTTACCATATAGCAATGTATCCACTATATGCTCAGGATTTTGGCAAAGAACTTAGAAGAATAATACCATGATCTTCTTTCTCAATCTTCACATCTACATTCTTGAGATCGAGAATAATCTTGTTGAGCTCATCCATGTATTTCCTAAGATCATTTGATTCATCCATTTGGAGAGTGTACAGCTGCTTCTTCAAGGAAAGGCGATTTGCTAGAGATCTTTTCAAGAATAGCGATTCAAGTTTAGTCTTCTAGAAATGGCCTTCGATATTCCTTGATTTTCTCTCTTTCTCATACCAATTGTTATGTATTTTCAGATCTCGGTATGCAGAAATTAAGAAACCAGAAACTCAGAAATGTGACTTCTGCCAAAAGCCAATAAAGCTATTAACTACTATAGCTTAAAACAGAAGCCAACAATTTGAAAACACGCTCCAGCGTGAACCAGAAGCTAGAGAATAAGACCACTCCTTAATTTTGATTCTCCAAACCGTGAATCAACGCTCCAATGTGAAAATCTATGTGGAAGTGTGGAACTGAGAAATGAGGAATTTTATTAAGCAAAAAACTCTCTACAATATCTTTTTATTTTCTATTTCTACAGCAACCGAAATCAAAACAATATAGAAAAAAATGACTGCTACACAAAAAATTTAAGAAATTGGTAGTACAACTTACAGCTATAGGAAAAAAAGGAAATAAAATCGGATCATAACAACTAACGGCTACAACCAGATGCGAGCTCTAATGGGTATTCTAAACCCCACAGGATCGTCATGACCCATACAAAATCTGCACAAGTTCATTTAGGTCCTGTACAAGATTGTTGGATCCTGCTGAGATCATTTCCTCTTTCTTCTCTTCGGGATGGAATGAGCTTTTATTGAAAGCTTCATTATTACTATTACATTGAGCTTATTTTCTCTGTTAACCAACGCAAAACTACACGATTTTCTTGGCTCATTCCTCTGTAATGGCTCAGTTCCAACCCTCACTCGCTAAATATCCTTTAATGTCTTCTCATATATCTTAACACTGTGCAGGCTTTGCGATACAGAGCATTCATTTTCATATTTATGTTTTTGTATGTGCAGGCTACATTGTGTAAGGTACAACCATTCGAAAGAAAAAAATCATTGCTGGGTTCTGCAGATTCTAAAGCTGTTTAAAATTTCCATCTGCAAGGCAAGCTGGGATAAATGGGCAGAGGAAGAGGGAAGGGGAAGAAACTCACAGTAGTAGCAAACCATGAGGACCTTGGAAATGGGGGTGAAGAACCGCTTCCAGAATATAAAAGAAGTGGAGAGCCTGAAATACCCATGAAAGATGATAACAAGCAAGAGGAAAATGTAGCAATTGAAGTAGATGGAACCAATATCAAACCTATCCTCATGAGTAAGGAGGAAATAACTCAGGAGAGTGGGAAGAAGAGGAAGAGGCATTTGCAAGTAAAAGAAAACTCTGGTGCAGCATTGGAAGAAAATGGCTCCATTGCGGCATCCAAAATGGGGGAGACGGCAAAGACTATTGGATACAGACAAACTGGAAGCCGTCGTAAGAGTAAACCGCATCGTGCAGCTGAAGCTGTAGTTCCAGTAATGGCTGTCTACAAGGGGCTTTGACTGTTCTGTTTGCCCCGAATTCTTAGAATCTCTGATGCTTTCGTTCTTCTGTTTGCCTTTTTGCTCAGTTTCAAAGTTTTCTTGTTAAGCTTATTGTCATGAATGGACCAAACAATCTAATACTATATATTTGCTCAGTCTTTATAAAGTTGTTCTATGAAAGAATTTTGGATGTACAGATCACTTCATGTTCATCTTTCTTTTATGTTCCAAGTCTGTAAAGATGCATTAGAAATGTTTCTTTTCTTGTCAATGGGAATTTATTAAGAAGAAAAAGATAAAAATTGAATGAAAAAAAAAAAAAAAAATCATGTGGTGTATTGAAGAAGTCGGGATTATAAAGTTTAAATTGTCGACTTGGCCGTCTATGATAATAATAGAAAATATTTGAGAAAAAATTAGCGGTGACTAATGATTATGTAATCAAAGGCCCGAGAAGATGGTTGGGTGATAATGGTCAGGTGATTGCAAATATTGATGTCAATTGATAGACAACAAAGGTCAAGTAATAACATTTTGGCAATGGTGATTAGGTGGCGTTAGTCAAATGATGATTGTTAGATGATAACAAGGGGGAGATAATGGTTGTTAGATGTGATTGTCATAGCTCTAAGATTATTCAAATTTAGTGCGAAATGAGAGTTAATTTATAGATTTTTGCTTGTAATATTTTGATTATTTTTTCAAACTCTGCAACTCTACATTAGATGGCCTAAAATGACAGCCATTGATTGTTCAATGTTTTATAAGTATTTAAACGCCTTATTAGTATGGGAATCAAGTGATTTTAGGCATATTATATTAGTCTAAACGAGATGCAAGTTTCAAAAAATAAAAAAATAAAAAAATCTTGAAAATAAGGCTCAAATGATCTCAATACTAATTCTAATTCAAATACCTGTGTCAAAATTTAACAGTCTAATTGATTTTCTCTTTTTTTTTTTTTTTTTTTTTTTTCTGGTGATACATTAATGCCCCTTTTTTTCCTAATGAAATTATTCTATGCGGATGCGGACGTCATCCAAACGTGAATTAGAGCGCGCCACCTCACCTTTGCTGTGTACCGCGGCTGGTTACCTGCCGTATATCAAGTGGTGTGGTGCGCTCTGATTCGCCTCCAGACAGTTCAGTGTCCGCATAGAATAATTTCTCATTTCCTTGCATCAAAATCTTTTATTTCAAATATAATTTGAATCTCGAAGATTTGTTGCATGAAATAACATTTTTTTTAAAAGTCCAATGAACAACAATCATTCATTAGACATCAATATATAACTCTCATTGGAGTAGTGAACTAATTAAATTCCCTTTAATTACTATTTTTCTCTCCCATGAAGTTGGCACATTATTTGGAGTAAATATTGTCATTAACTTTTATTCAAAACTTTTTCAAATGGATTAAGGCTTCATCTGGGATAACTTTCTTACTTCTTTCTAAAATAATTTTTTAGTAAAAAAAATTTGATTTAAAGATTTTTATACTAAAAAGTTATTTCAGAAATAAGTAAAGAAGCTTGCATAGTTGTGAAGGAAAATTCTTTAGATTCTTTGAAAAAGATAATAGATTCATTAGCATGGTGTGATTATTTTGAGAAAAATAAGTTCGATAGCAAAATTTGCATACATAACTTTGGTAATTAGCAAGTCTCAAATGGATTATAAATTTTCATTTTGTTATAGGTGTCTATGAACAATAGTTTTTTTTTTAAGGCTCGATAATCAACACACATTATCTTCATGGTTTGACCAGTCCAATCATTGGTGATGTTCATCAATAATAAACCATAGGGCATGATCCCCCATATTTGGAAAACTTATTGCTCTCCACTCTAACAAAATAAAATATGGAAGATGGTTGATGCATCTTATGGCATGAGCTAGAAGGATAATCATAAATATAAAGCATTAATATCTTATTGTAGCTTGACATCCTCTTTAGAAAAATAAATTGAATTATGCCATCAAGATGGCTATCACATCAACAGTAAACCTTAGGACACGATCATTTTTTTAGAAAGCTTATTGGTCCAAACTTCAACAAAACATGACATGGTAGCTATATATATAATAACCCAAAAAAATTAAATAAATTTGTTTTAAAAATATAAAAATATGATCTAGCAGGCAATGCTGGGTTGGCAAGCATAGCAGTGCTTAGAGCACAATGATGTCGAGTTCTCTGTTCTGTAATAACTCTAGAAGCAACATATAGCGCAGCGGCACTGAATTTTGCGCGCAGTGGAGCTAGGCACTAAATTTGACTTTTTTTAATATTTTTCTTTAAATATTCCTACCACCCCACCGCCCCTCACTCTCATTTGGTTTTCCTGGAAAGGAAAGAGAGGAGAAGAAGAAGGGAATGGGGAGAGAAGGGAAGGGAGAAGGGAAGGGGGAGAGAGAGAAAAGAGATAAAGGTCTTTGAGGTGTTTTTGTCCATCGCTTCTATTATGGATTTTGTTCTAATTGATGCAACTATACTCTTGCTCCTATTTTCGATGGTTTTAATTTCAACGATTTTTATTTCTCTTTAATATGTCAAAAATATACTTTCTTTTGATTTATCTAGCTTTTATTGTGTAACTTTTTTTAATATGATTGATATGATTATTATGAGTATTTTAACTTTAATATTATAGAATAATCAATGGTTATGATTTTTTGAAGTTTATGTATAGTATATAGATTTGCTTGCATTTCATAGATTAATTTATTCCATACCTGATATTGATATAGCATAGCAAAAATGATATGATTGATGTAAGATAAATGTGAGATTTGCATGTAAGTAGTGGAGGATGACTTTCAACACTATAATTAATATGGGTTGGGTATTAAAACGTAATATCCTATAAAGGAGGGTGGGCCTACAAAATTTTCTTAAAATAAAGATTTGTAGTGTAATTCTGGTTGTAGCCTATAATGAATTAATGATCAAATTATACTAATGGACAAAGAGTGACAACTCTTAATGATTTATCAAAATCCATCTATGAATTGATTTAAATTTTTTTAATAAGGATGGTAAGATAAATATTGATAACTAATTGGTAGATAGTTGTGATTAAATTAAATACTAATGCTCAACTAGCCTATAATTATGGTTGAAGATGTTAAAAACATCACATAAAAGCTAGATGTTCTACATCGTCATTCATAATTGCATTTATATGATAGTATATAAATTGATTAAAAGATAAAACTAAAGTATGACTGATAGAACCTACATTGATACTAATACAACATGTCATAGCAACTATAAGGATATTGATACTCATTGAAAAATATATTGATACTGTACATTGATAAGCATATTGATATAACACACTGATATGATATGTTAATAGATAGTTATACATTGCATAATGATTGATAGAAGTATGTGATAGAACCATCAACACAAGTATATATAACTGATAAACAATTTGTGATGTCCCGGAATCTAATTTGAAATAATTATTATTTTATCATTTAATAAATAACAAAAAAAAACTATCTAATATTATCTATTAGTAATAAACAACAAAAATAGATTCTATAATTTAAATATTAATGTATACTTCTATATTCATTTTTAAAAATCATATATATTACTTAGAATATATACAATCATCATATAACTACTATATCTTGAGTACAAAAAATAGCTAAAATAAAAAGAAATAGAACTTGAAGAATACTTACCAACCTCGCACTCCTGCTCCCCTACTTTGACCTGAAATCATTTAACTACTTATAATGAGCTAAAAAGCCCAGTAGGTCACCAAAATTTATAACTAAATTCAAAAAATGATAAATGAGAATTATGTATTTCAATAATCAAATCATAACAATTACATTCATATGATTATTGAATCAGTACAGAAATAGTAAAATTCATATGTAGTAGTAATAAAATTTATAAGTTATAAAACACTACAGTACGGAACCAGTAAAACGATAAACCAGCACGAGCATCAAATCTATAAAATAATTGTTGTATCCGTAATACCAATCAGTATAAAAATTGTATAAATCATCAAATTAATATATTGAAAAAGATTATTAAAATTATATCAATGTAGTAAAATCATAGAAGAGTGTATCCATACTATCTAGGTATTTTATATTGTATACTCAATATCACATATATATTGTCAGTACAGTGAATCAGTAGTATCAAATAGTATCAGTATCTAAATCGATAACAATAAAAATCTAGTGGCAGAAGTAGTAAAATAATGCAATAATAATAAATCTGTGCAGTAATAATAAATTTATATAATAATAAAAATAATGTCTTAAGAACATACATTTCAGTAGTCATATATACTAAATAAGTAAGTAGCTCTGTTTATCATAGTATTTGTCAATATTAATTATATCAGTATCAGTAAATTATTGACTCAATAAACATAGTTGTCACTCTTTACCCATCGACACAATAATTATATCCTTATAACTCTCAATCTGTGTATCACATAAATTGATATAGGATAACATCAAACTATAGTATTTAAAGAAAAGCACGTCGATCCACCATTATATATAAGTCAATCAGTCTCAAACTAATGGGTCAATCAATCTTTACTTATCTTTTACACACATATTATTATCACAATATTATAACAATAATCTTAATCATATATCCACATTTATTTTCAATGCATTGTAATAAATAAAGCATAATTAAACTTAATTTAGAAAATGTCTAAATAGTAGATAACAAAAATCATACTAAGCAAAAAGTTACATTTTTAAAATTTAACCAAATTATAAGATATTGCATAAAATAATATTCCAAAACTTTAGTTGAACTAAATCACTATTTTTAGATGACAAAATAAAATTTTAAGTAGAAAAAAATTACTGTACTTTCAAAATCACTTAGTCAAAAATATCAAATAAATACTCAAAATATTTATAATCTGAATATCTATAATAAATAAAAAATTATTCTTATTTTTCTATAATAGAAACATAAATTTGACAAAAAATACTAAAAATATAAAATCTTTAAAATAAAAAATAAGGTAATGATTTCTTACATCGAGACGAGCAAATCTCTAAACTAGTCAAACTGACAAAAATTATTCTGCAGCATTCAAATCCAAGCTTTAATTTTCTTTAATCTCTTATTTTCTCTCTATTCTCTCTAAAATGTCTTTGTTGCCAAAAGCTTAAGGAGAAACAAAAAAATTTAATAAATTCATATAATGGTTTTAGATATTTAGGAATAAAATAATTATTTAATTTAAATAATAAAGTTAATCAATTTCTTTTAGTATAAATTCATAAAAAAAATTTTAAGGCTTTAAAAATTATAAAAAAATATTCATAAAATAATGCATTTTATTTAAAAAATATCGATGAAATCAATTTGTAAAATGGACACCTGACAATTCCAAAATTCTCACTTGTACTGACATGTACTAATTTCTTGAGGATTTTTGCCTGTGCCCAAAAATTACGAAAAATTTATGCAAGTAAAATACTATAATAACAATACTATGGCAAAGACGATTTACAATTTGGAGTTATATTAAATTTAGAAAAAAAAAATTTTGAGCCAAAATACATGTTATTACACAATTGAGGCTTAACTGATTGTACAACACATCTTATTAATTGATAGACATTTTGTCAATTTTCTTATAGATTAATGATAGACTTCTTTAATTTTGCTTATTGAATAATCCGACTTCATTAATTATATTGATTATATTGATTTCATATATTATTTATCATTCATATTTATAGCTTATTAATTGATATTGATTGAAATTGGAACAAAAATATTGATTCTTTTACTTTGCATTAAATATAGTGCTAAATTTTGGTTACTTATTAGGTTATGCGCTTATTATATAATTTTTTCATGATTTCATATAAGTTAAAGGAGCCTGTAGAGTGAAGCTAATCAGTGGGTGATATTTGAGTTTTATTTCTCACTCTTTGATTTTATAGATTTTGTTTAGCATGTTGTTGGCTATTATATATATTTTTGAGAATTTATTAAAATGTAAATATTCATGGAGCAATAATGTAATTATATTTTCTTCTGACATTGTTACTTATATACAATTGCAGATAGGGCTGCAAACGAACCGAGTCGAGCCGAGTATGCAAGTGTTCATGTTTGAGTTTGTTTATCATTAGCTTGTTCAAGTTCGATTCATGTTTGATTCGAGCTTTATTGTTAGTGTTCATGTTTGGCTCGTTTAATTTAAAGGTGTTCATGTTTGGTTTATGTTCGGTTCATGTTTGGTTCGTTTAATGCTTATCGAGCTTTAAGCAAACAAGCCTTAACGAGATATGCTCATGAACATATTTAACAAACAAACATTAAATTTATTCATGAACATCTTAAACAAACATTCTAACAAACATAGACAAATGTGAAATGTCTATTGTTCAGAAAAATAAATTTGTAATAAAAGCAGATATCTATTTAAAATAAAAATATGATTAATCTATATGAATATATTCTTAAATAAAGCTTACCTATTGTATTTCTCTCCATTCAAGCTTTTATCGATCTTTTTATCGAACTTAATGGCGAGCTTGTTCACGAACTTCAAATGATGTTGTTCGTGAATATAAATGAACCGAACACTTTAGTGTTCAAGCTTGTTTATTTAAGGGCCGAGTATTTAAAATGTTGTTCAAGTTTGTTTGTTTAGTTAATTAAACGATCACAAACGAGCTTTAATCGAACCGAGTATCGAGTAGCTCGTCGAACGCTTGGTTCGCTTGTAGCCCTAATTGCAGATATAAACTGAATAATTAATTCATTCATTAATGATATTTGAAAGAAGTCCTCAAAATTGCACTTATATAATCTTGGTTGTACATAATTGTGTACAACGTAAAAAATGAAAGTTATTTATACACAAACATGCACAATTATGCACACCATGATTTTGGATTCTTAAGATGGTATAAAACAATATATAATATCAAGAAAGAAAAAAATTGTGAAAAACTAAAAAATAAAAACATGGACATAATTGTTTACAACTATAATTTTGTGCTTTCAAGACTATTCATGGTTGTGTACATTACTAAGAATGGAAGAATTTGCCAAAAAAAAAACATGTACACAATTGTCTTTATCCATACTTTGGATTCTTAAGGCTATATAAGACCAAGAATGGAAGAAATTATAAAAAAAAAACAAATATAAAATTGTTTACAATATTGTCCTTGTGTTTTTAAGACCGCATATAGTTATCGGTCTATAACATTAAGAATGAAAGAAGATACTAAATAATACATGCATAGCACTATAATTACTGTTAAAAATTTACTTAATAAATTAATTACTGTTAAAAATTTACTTAATAAACTCATTATAATCACCATAAGTGCATTGTGCGTTTTAATGTTAAAGCTAAAATTTTATAATTATATGTTGAGTAGTTTTTTATTAGATATAATTTTATGGTTTGTTTACTCAACATATTTATTTTTCCTGTGACTTTGAGTAATTTTTTAAAAACTTAGGTCAATAAAACTGGAATATTTTACAGCTTTAATTTATTTTCATTATCAATGTAATTAATTTAAATTTATCATTCTAATTCTCTTAACAATGCAAATGATAAAATTTTAATTTTATTCATTTTAATTACATTATAAAACATATTTAACTTCTACTTTACATTGCATAATAAATATTATATCTTTTATTTGACAGTATTGAAAACTAAAATAAATTATCATTATCAATTAAAAAAGAAAGATCATATAAAAAAGATATGATTATTTAATAAATCATAACATATTATATTTAAATCATTCTTTTGGACCCACCATTGCTTAGCTTGGTTGGTGGGTGAGTACGATTAGGAACCCCCAATTTATGCTCGATAACCCTGGAGCGACAGCAGTTTTTAAGTAGGATTCAATCAAGTGCGGGCCATAAAATTTTTTGGGTGGGTGCCTCATTTAGATTAGTCGAGGATTAATCACGTCGTCAAACACTCTTTAGAGAAGCGTGACAGTGAATGGATACCTCGTTAAATAAAATATCATTATTTTGAATAAGTAATTTGTGTAGAACCAAGGACTGTTTTCGAAAGCAGCCAAATTTGCTCTGCTAGGGTTTGGCTTCCTTTGTGCTTTTCTGGCCGCCACCACCTTCCCCTTGGGGAGGAACTCCCCTGGGATGACCTCCTCTATCCTCCCCCCTCCGCTCTACACCCCCTCCTCCTCTTCCACCCTCCTTCTTAGAGATTGGAAGAGCCTTATTGCTACCCAGCCTCTTGTTTCCAATGAGTTTACCTCTTCCATCACTCACTTCCCCACTGAGAATGCCACTGCTCATTTCACATCCGCTCAGTTCACCGCTGGATCATCAGAATGGTCCCTCTCTCTAGTCGGCTATTCCATCGGAAGGCGTCCGTACTATGAAGCTTTACTCGCAACAATCAAAAAAGCCTGGAACTTGAAAGGGTCCCTCTCTCTGCTTACCTTAGATGATGGGTTCTTTCTCCTCAAGTTCAACAATCGGGAAGATTTTGACATGGCCTGGTCGGGTGGTCCTTGGTTCTTCTTTGGAAAACCATTCATACTGCAGAAGTGGACTCCGGACTTCATCCCTGTTCGCGAGGAGTTCCCTTCAATCCCCCTGTGGATCAAAATTAAAAATTTCCCTCTTTCTTGCTGGACACCGGAGGGGATCTCAAAGATTGCGAGTTGCGTTGGCATCCCGCTTGCTGTTGACGCCCTAACAGCTGCCAAAACGAGACTCACCTTCGCCTGGGTGTGTGTTCAGGTGAGTAGCTCCTCCCCCTTGCCGGATGTGATCTACTACACGGTGGATGACAAAACTTTTCCCCTTACTGTGCTCTACGACTGGAAGCCTTCCCACTGTTCCTTTTGTAACTCCATCATGCATGCCCCTAATGCCTGTCCTAAAAACCCAACCCCTCAATCTACTGAAACATCCCAAAACCGTGGTAGAAGCACCAGCCGAAAACCCCGGAAACTCCCCCCTAGACTGAACATTCCTAAACCTCCCAGCTCTTCTACCTTTCAGCCTCAGCTGCAGCCCCAGCCTCAACCCCAGCCGCAGCCCCATCCTCAACCTCAGCCTCAACCACAGCCTCAATCAACCCAACCATCCACCTCTCTTTCAACAGCCCCTGCTTCTACAGCTGTTGAAATAAACCCCCTCATTCCTAACCTTAATTCCCCTTCAGAGGACTTTATTCCCCCCTCACCCACCACCATTACTTTTTCACCTACCACTGTGTCTACCTCCCCACCTGTCCCGACAAAAAACAAATTTGATGTCCTTAATGATCAAGACCCTACTCCAGAGACCTCCTCTACCCAAACAATATCCTTACCTTCTTCCTCTTCCAACCCCCATGATAACCCGGACAACCCTACAGATATATCCAAAAAAATCATGGCTCCCAGTAATAGCCAAACCAAACATCAAATTGTGAACACCAATCCTACAGCCAAATCGACAAGAGCCAAATCGGCCAAAATGGCCACCACACCCACCTCAAAATCCCAATGACCAGGTTCCCCCTCTTGGCTTCCTGGAACACACGTGGATTCAATAGCCCTGACAAAGTTTTATGTTGTAAAAACTTAGTCAAAACCTTTGACCTTGACTTTCTCTTCCTCCTGGAAACAAGAATCTCTCCGACTTCTCTCCGCAACCCCTGGTTTATTTCTACTCATTCTGTTTTTTCTACTGAAGGCTCTTATGATAATTTTGATTATGCTACCCCCGGTCTCATATGGATTAAGTGGAACTCTTCTTCTGTGAGTTTCAAACCCGCTTTTACTTCAAGCCAATTAATTCATGGATCGGTTTTTTCTGGCACTACGGAAGCTTATTGTGTTTTTGTCGTTTATGCTTCTAATGCTTTGGATGAAAGGCTCCTCCAATTCATCATTTGCTGATATTGCCATTGGTATTACTTCCCCCTGGATTATTCTAGGGGACTTTAACTGCTGCAGATCCTCTAATGAGAAAGCCGGTGGTTCTATACTTACTAGCAGCAAAGTGGCCGATTTCAACAATTTGATTTTTACTATTGCTGTCCATGATCTGTCTTCTATTGGTCATTATTTTACTTGGTATAACCAAAGGACCGATAACCCAATCCACATTAAATTAGATAGGATGTTGGTTAACGACTGCTGGCTTGGAAATTTTCCTTCATCCTTTTATCTTGTGGACAACCCACAGATTTCTGACCATTCTCCTATCATTTTACAAATGGATCAAAGTAAACGCAAGAATCACCGATTTCTTTTTAAGAACTATTGGCTGGCTAACTCTGAGTTTTGGGATTCTCTTATTCAGGTTTTCTCTCAAAGATTTCATAGCAGTCCCATTCATGCTTTTTTCCAGAAGCTTAAGACTCTCAAGATCAGTCTGAAATCCAAGAATTGGGTCACTTCCAACTCCCTTCAAATTGATATTTCTGATCTTACATTCTCGCAAAACAATCTTTTATGTCAAATTCAGGCTAATCCTCTGGATTCTGATCTCAATCTGGCTCTTAAAGATATTAACCACAAGCTTGCGGTTAAAAACTCTGATTGGTCGTCCTGGATTATTCAAAGGGCTAAAGCAAAGTGGCTTTCGAATGGGGAGGATGATTTGAAGTTTTTATATTCTAGGATCAATGTCAGACATAATTCAAATCAAATCAATTGCATCACTACTGCTGAAGGGACTTTTTCTAATCCTGATGATATTAATAGAGCCATTGTTAATCATTTTCAAAAGGTTTTTAATTCTACTGCTCCTCTTACTCAATCTAGCAAGGCTCCTCCAATTCATCATTTGCTCCCTTCCAGCTCCATTCCAGGCTTGGTTGCTCCTGTCACTGTGGATGAAATTAAGAATGTTATCTTTTCCTCCCCTGCTTGCTCGGCTCCCGGCCCAGATGGATACACTTTTGAATTTTACAAATCTACTTGGAATACTATTGGAAGTCAACTTACTGATGCTGTGATGTCTTTCTTCTCGACTGGCTCTATGCCTAAGCATGCTAAAGCTACTGCTATAGCTCTCATACCCAAAAGGCCTCATGCTCAAGACATTGCGGATTACAAACCTATTTCCCTATGCAACACTTTTTATAAGATAATAGCCAAGATTCTTGCCAATCGTTTGAAAGATGTTATGCCTTTTATAATCCATTCGAGCCAATCTGGTTTCATTAATGATAGAGTTATCTCTGATAATATCCTTTTAGCGGCTGAGCTTCTCAAAGAATTCAATTCCAGTCACAAAGATCAATTTTTCTGTGCTAAATTTGATATTCACAAGGCATTCGACACGGTTTCTAGGAAATTCTTGATTGAATGTTTGCTTGCTAAGGGATTTCCTAAAATCTTTGTTTCCTGGATCTATGGCTGTATTTCTGACGTTTACTTTTCGGTTTCCATTAATGGGGGGCTTGAAGGATACTTTCTTCCTCCTCGGGCCTTAGGCAAGGTTGCCCGTTATCCCCTTATCTGTTTTGTATTGCTATGGACTGCTTATCCTCTCTTTTTGAAGAGGCAACCAACAATAACTCTCTCTTGGGCCCGAAAGCTGGCAGCACCTGTTTCTCCCATCTCTTATACGCGGATGATCTTTTAGTTTTTGCTAAAGCAACTCGGGAGAATGCACATCACTTGAGCTGCATCCTTGATGACTTCTTTAGTCTCTCGGGTTTAAAGGTCAATAGCAGCAAAAGCAAAATTGTTTTCTCTAAGAACTCTACTCAGGAGCAGGCTATTAGTAATACCTTGAATATCCCCATCTCTTCCAGTCCGATTAAATATTTGGGCATCCCTATTTTCCATAGGAAACTGAAAATTGTTGACTTTCAGCCCCTTATGCATAAGATCACGGCAACCTTGGATGGCTGGAAAGCGAGATCCCTCTCTATGGCTGGTAGACTGCAATACCTTAAACACACCATTAACAGCATCTTGTTGTATTGGGTCCGTGGGACTCTGCTTCCCAAAACTTGTATCAAGAAGATTAAAAGCCTTTGCTCTAGATTTCTTTTTTATGGTGATATCCAAAAACGTAAAATGCACCTCATCTCTTGGAAGGATACCTGCAAACCTAAGATTTATGGGGGGTTGGGCATCCCTTCTATTGAAGCTTTATATTATGCTTGTGGCTGCAATGTTATCTGGAGGTTTTATAGTTCTAAAAGTTACATTTTCTGCTGGTGGAAAGAAAAATATGGATCCCTTTGGAACACTCAGATTACTAAATGCTCCTCTTATTGGAAAAACTTATGCGATGTGGCTAAGAGCCTTTTGCATTCTTTGAACTTCAAAATTAATCCTTCTAGTAATCTTTCTTTTTACTGGGATCCTTGGTGCCTTGCTTTATCGGTGGCTGATCGTCTGAAGCAGAATCAACTTGATTTTTTGATTTCCAAAACTAATGTGCCTGTTTGTAATCACATATCTAACGGTACCTGGACTCTTCCTGCTTCTCTTCCTGCCCATATTGCTGACTTGATACGTTCCGTCCCCTTTTCTGTTGGGCTGGAAGATTGCTGTTGGATTGCACCTACTAAACCTTCATTCAAAAATTTTTATATGAATTCTATGAGGATGTTGAGAAGGTTAATTGGTATAATTTTGTTTGGCATAAGCACAGCTCCCTTCGGTTTGCTGTTTACTCCTGGACTGCATTTAGGGATGGTCTCAAAACTGCCTCTGTTCTCGCCGCTAGGGGCATCTCGGTCTGCCCCCTCTGCATTTTTTGCAAAACCAATATTGAGACTCAGAACCATCTGTTCTTTGAATGTGATTTCTCATTTAATATCCTCTTGAGGTTCTTCCCCAGAATGCAATCCATGCTGTTTAGGCCTAATTTATGGCAAGCTTTTAATGATATTGAGGTTGAGGAAGCTATTAACAACAGGAAGAATTACTCTTTTTTATCTCTGTCTGCTATTGTTTACTTCATTTGGAGATCTAGGAACGACAGATTATTTGGCAACTGTTCGGAAAGCATTAATGTCATTTCCTCTAAGATTAAACGGTCGGTTTATCTCAGGAGTTTCAAGAAAAAATGTTTTCAGGATATGCTCACTTGATCTTTGCCTTTGCTGTGGAAGGTATTCTGGTGCCTCTTGGTCGGCTTCTCCGAGCTGCCAGGGGCTTGCTGGGTGTTTTGAAGGACTATGATGATTGCAATCTACATTATTCCCCTTGGACGGCCTGTCGCTGCTGTTCTTCTTCTCGGCAACCAGGGGATTTTCGGCTACAAGGGTGCATTCTTGATGATTGCTTAACTGAGTCCTTATTGCTTTTTGCTTATCATTTTGCTTTTCTTGTATTTTCACAGGTTTCATAGTTTTTTGTTTCTTTAGCAGCTAAGCTGATAGCATTTTGTCAATTGCCGGGATTTTTGGCTACCAGGGTGCATTCTTGATGATTGCTTAACTGAGTCCTTATTGCTTTTTGCTTATCATTTTGCTTTTCTTGTATTTTCACAGGTTTCATAGTTTTTTGTTTCTTTAGCAGCTAAGCTGATAGCATTTTGTCAATTGCTTCACAATTTTGTTTGATTAGCAATTGTTTTTCTTTACTGTAATCTTTTTTTCATCAATGAATCGGACTGATGCCTCAAATATTCCAAAAAAAATAAGTAATTTGTATAAATGATTCATTATTGACTTCCCAGTTCCCACCTTAAACGAGGACGCAGTGCACACCTAATAATTAGTCTAAAATGGAGAGGGGGCAGCCATGTAACTCCGAGCAGCAGTCAAATCAACTTGTTCTTGGATTTGTGAGATTTCGCAGCTCGCTTCATTATTTCACAGGTACATAAGCATCTATTCAGCCTTCACTCAAAAGGAAGGCGCAATCACCCAGTCCCAAGAAAATCTAAGCCCATTTCAAAAGATTTTTTTTTGGGAAAAAGATTCTTCACTGATAAAAAAAAACATCTTGTCAATCCACAGTAATGATATCTTCTAAAAAAAAGTTACTTTCCCAAGCCCCGCATTCTTTCAAACCCTAAGAATACTCAAAATTCTCCCTAAAAAGCGACACCTTCATGTACAAATCTAGAAATTAAAAAAAAAAGAGGAAAATGGCGTTTTTCAATGTTAAAGGGAAGCTCCGTCATGGCCATTATTAACAAAGAAAGCAACCGCATCCATTTTTGTATAATCTAGCTAAAAGAGAAGAAAAACTACTACTTCAAAAAGGTTGTTTTAACAGTCTCACTATATCTGTAACTACATCATTATTTAGAAATAATTCCTCAAATGTGTCGCATCATGGTGCTCTCTGATTTCTGACAGGGTTATCACAGTACAGTAACCCCAGAATGGCAGTTGTCGGCTTTGTAGAGCACCCAGGAGAACCAAATAGCCAAGTTCTCAGCTTTTTAACTTTATAAAGAACGAGAACACAGTGCAGCTTCTTGTCTCAATCTCTTCTCTTCCACCGAGCCCATGGGGGAGAAACCGTAGAAGGGCTCAGAAATGGAGAGCTCAAGCTCTGCTGCTAATGGCTCTGGCGACTCTCTCAACGGTCTCAAGTTTGGAAAAAAGATCTACTTTGAGGATGCGGGAGGCAATGGAAGCTCATCCAAATCCATGGCCGCGGTGGGGAAGAAGGGGAAGGGAGTTGCGGCTGTAGGAGGGCAACAGAAGGCACCAAGATGTCAAGTTGAAGGTTGTAATTTGGATCTTACAGGGGTCAAAGCTTATTACTGCAGGCATAAAGTTTGTGGGATGCACTCCAAGTCTCCTAGGGTTATTGTTGCAGGGCTTGAGCAGAGATTTTGTCAACAGTGCAGCAGGTCATTTTTTCTACTCAACTACCTACATTTATTATTATTATTATTTCTGTGCTCAGCATTCTGTCTCTTTTTCTAGATTTTAAATTTTTTGCTGCGTTATTATACCATTTTGGTTTCTTTCTCTATGTTTTGATTTGTGTTTTTTAGGGGTTCGAATCTTTTGATGAGGTCTTCCTGATGATTGCAGATGCAAATGCTTGTTTTCTTGTTTTGAATGGCCCATTTTTAGTTTTTTTTTTCCTTTTGAGATTCTAATATTAATATTAAAGATTTGTTTCATATATATTACCCAAGAATTGAAATTGGTTCACTTTTTGTATAGTATCTGACAGAGTTTATGTTTTTCATTGTATTCTGGAGATGAGTTTGCTGGTACTTCTTTTCTTCCTTTAATTTTATGTTGGAAGGATTTAACTTTAGGTCTGTTTGACTAAAGTTTTTTTCTTTTTTTATAGGAACATTTAGGCCAGCCAATTAAGCAAACTCACACACAACACACGCAAGACTCGAACTGAAAACCTCTTAATTGGTAGCTGCTTACCAAAGCTTTCAAAGCCTTTATCAATTAAGTTTGATAGACACCCACTTGTCGTCTGGTACTTTTCATACAGTGGGGGCAATAGCTTTTTTAGGAATGTGTTTGGAGCTGTGATGTACATTTCTTTTTTTTTTTTATTATTATTAATTAGCATATGCTATCTGCGCTTGGTATGTGGGGTATGACTTAGAAGTTTATGTTGATCTATTGGGGACTATGATGTTTATGTTAGAACTGTGATAAGAAACATAAGCTCAATTTGCATTAAGTGTGACTTCTATTTTGCTCTTTATATTATGAGAATGCAATTTTCAAGGTCATTAATCAACATTCCTCAAGCTCTGGTATGAAAAATTTTGAATGGGGAAGGATAAGCATCGAGAAAATAGTTTAGAATATTTTCACTTAAAATTTTACTTAAGAAATAAAATGGAATTGTTAAGATGTTTTAGTTTGTCAAAATAAAGGAAATGAAAACTTGGATGATTAAACTATATTCCTCAAACTAGGGGAAATGGAAAATTGGAGGAACTCTTTCTCAGGGTGACTCCAAATGGTTTGTTATGGTGAAAGCACAAGTGAGAAATTGGATGGTGTTTAAAGATTAATAATGAGTTTTAATGATCATTTAAGTTAATGACTATTCATTGAAATTGACATTGAGCTACTAGTTAGCGGTGAGGTCTGAGATGATTTTAGCTACTCAGTAAGCCTTGTTTTAGTTTTTCATAAAATTTAATGAACAATTCAACCTTACAGGCAATATAGGAAGTAAATTGATTAGATTTAACATATGAAGATTAATAGTCTATAAAGATAGATCTAGCATATATAGATGTCTCTTGAGTGAACAAAATTGATATTCAGCTAGCTGTTTAGTCAATGTATCCTTAAGTTGGTGATTAGTTCCAACAACTTCTATTTCAACATTGCCATCAAATCATGATCCCATATAAAATAATGTCTAATCATTATGTGTTTGGCCCTCAGTGTAAGGTAGGGTCCTTGGTAAGTTTATTGTACTTGTGTTGGTTGCGTCTAAAGTGAATGTGAGATAACTTTAGCCCATGGTCTTCTAATTATTTCTTCAGTCACAATACCTATGCAACACAACTATTTGAAACAACATTCTTTGCCTTTGTTATTGCAAGGGTTGTTAAATTTTACTTTATATTGGATCATCACATGAGTGATAAGTCTTAAATTGATACATGTCTGACATGTTTTTTTGATTAGCTTTACAAACACTATAAAGTCAACATTAAAAAAAAAAATCAAGGTTGCTTGAAAATGCATTCTTAAGATACCACAACCCAAGATTGAGCATACTTATGTAATATTTATAAATACTTTTTAACAAAAATCAAGTTTGATTCCTTTGGATCTACTTGAAATCTAGCTAAAACATTAATTGCAACATAATGTCTGGAATATTAGGATTAAGATATAAGAAGGATCCAATCATACCTTAAAAAGATTTGAATCTATTGAAATGTCCTTCTCATCCTTATCTAATTTGGTGGCTAGGCTCATGATGTTATAAATTTGAGTTCTTTTATCGCAAGCATCATAATGAGATCAATGATATATTGGTTTGGGATATAAAAGTATGATCTTTTTTGCTTCTATCAAAACATGGAGAAGAAGTTGAGTTCATCCATCATATTTATTTTAATATCCCACTTATGATTTACACAAATTCAAGACACAAGGATTCATTCATAACATCAAATAAAATGCCACCATGTAAATTTGTGTAATTATCATTATCATCATTAATTCATTATGATTCTTCTAATAAATAGAGATTGCCTTTACCTTCATTTTCTGAAGCCTATTTCTATTTGAAATGAACTAAACATATTATAGCAAGCCTTGGGTGCTTCCTTCAATCTAAAAAGAACTTTATTTTGTGTAAATGATAAGAAATATCGAGATTTTTTAGATCCAAATGGTTAATATATAAATTTTTTAATTATACAATTTAACATTGCACCCTTGATGTCCATTTGATATACTTTAATAAATGGATAGGTCTTGAGTCTTTTTATTGGACATGTTTAATTATCTGGTCGGGTTTGGGTCGACATGGCAACTCGAAAATGATTCAGTTTTGATTTGTGAATTGTGAATTAAAACATTTGATATGTATATAGGAATGTAACATATTGATTAAAGTTTATATTAATTAAAATATAGTGAAAATGTCTAAGCGATAAGTTTAGAAGCTATAATTGGAATTCCATTTGCTTAAATTCTTTTGCAGGTTATTTGTCTTTATATATATATATATATATATATATATAGTGGGTCGGGTTTGGGTTTAGGATTTTGACTCATTTATTAAATGGATTGAGTTTGGGTCAGATGGGTTCACAGAGGGTTAACATCGATTCAGACTTGAACCTGACTCTATAACTCATTTTCCCCTAACTGCAACTCTAGTTTTATATCTAACTATTGTTCACTCTATTGTTGATCTTATTCCCAAATATCAATTATATTTTAATAACTTTATGATCTAATGATTTTGTGACTAACTCTCAAACATCATTCATTGTTAATTGATTTAGTTTTTCTTTCATCACTAGAATCAACATATTTTATTTCATATTCTTCCCAACATCTGGGGAATATATAAGTATATCATCTATGAATACAATCAAGAATATATCTAAAAATAGCTTAAAGATTCTATTCATGAGATCCATAAACACTGCAGGAGCATTTGTCAAACCAAAAGGCATCACTATAAACTCTTAATGCCCATATCTGATGCTAAAAGCTGTCTTTGTAATATTTTCTTCTCTAATCATAAGATGATGATACCTTGATCTCAAATCAATCTTAGAAAACATTGAGGCACATTCCAACTGATCAAACAAATCATCTATCCTTGGGAGATGATACTTATTCTTCACTATCAACTTGTTCAATTCTCTGTAATCTATACAGAGTCTTAAGCTTTCATCCTTCTTTTTCACAAAAAGAACAGGAGCACCCCAAGGGGAGGTACTAGGCCTGATGAATCCATTATCCAGCAACTCTTGCAATTGTTCCTTCAACTCTTTAAGTTTTTTATTGTCATTTTGTAAGGGGTCTTAGCAACAGGTTCAGCTCTTGTCACCAATTCAATAAAGAAATATATTTCTTTACTTGGAGGTAAGCCAGGTAAATCATCATAAAATATTTTTGGGAATTTCTATACAATTTATAGCAAAATTAACTATAAATTTCATATATCAAATCATTCAGAATTTTGCGTAGAATTTTATAAAATTATTTCCATCGAAATTCGTTAACTTTAAAATTTTACTTAAATTTTGTCGCGACGCATCGAAATGCGTGTGACGCCTACGATCGTCGATTTCGGATTTTATATCTCTTATATTAAGTTCCTTTGGATAGTTGATTGATTATTTCATTCTTTTGACTAACTAGAAGTATTAAAGTTATTTTTGGGTTCTTTCATATATTTCTTTTTCATTCTAACAACATCTTCCTGTATTACTTCATCTTTTAATTGTATTATTTTTTCATCAAACATGACATAAATAGCTTTTTTACAATACAAATCCTTCTATTGAATGTTTTAAAAGCCTTATTATACCTTTAATAATCCTAGGAAGATTCAGTCGTTTGATTTATTTCCCAATTTTCTCACATTTTTGTGCTATTCTTCAACATAAACTATTTGCAAATGTGTAAGTAGGAAATACTTAACCTTCTTAACCCTGAAAATGTTTGGTGCTTTTTTTTTTTATGATTTAATGTAAATTACATAGCTGGCGATATTAATCACTTTTGTGTAGAAGCATTTGGGTAGATTGTCCTCACTAAGCACTGACCTAATCATATGTATTATTATTTTATTATTATGCTCGACTACACCATTCTATTGAGATTTCCTAGTGGATGATAATTTTGTTTAATATATTGCTCATCGCAAAAAATTGTCAAATCTATCATTCATAAATTAACCTTCATGATCACCTTTAATAGTTGTAGTTGATAACCTTCTCTATTTTTGAACCCATCTAATTAATGGAGAATTTTTGTCAATAAATTTGAAATATTTTGTGATTTAGTATAAAAATAATACATTAATTGAAGCATAAAAATATTATTTCATAATGTTCTCAATAATAAATTTGAATTTTATTTTTAGCAGCGAATTTATCTTACTATTGATTATTTTAATTAAGAAGTTTGGCTTACATTCCAATAATCCAAATTTGTGAAAATGCACAAGAAGGTACGAACTTATGTTGTAAATAAAAAGAATAACAATTTTAGATATTATAGATGTAAGGTGTGAACCACTATTAAGATAGTGACTAGGATTCAAATTTAATAAATGCATGAGAATTACAAACTTGAAACCTCACTAGAGATTAAATCTGCCCATTCTTTGGTTTTATAATTTTGCCCATTCTTTGGTTTTATAATTTTGTATAAAAAG